GTCCTAAATTAATATATCCCAGGTCCCGGGCCACTCTGTCACTTGTTTCACCCTTTGGTATATGGACAGCCCATACATTCATGTAATGACCGCCTGATAAATAAGTTTCAAAGTCATCACAAACACTTAATTGTATAAAATTCAATATTAATACAAATAATACATAATTTACAGTTAAAATTTTGAGATAATTGTTCATTATTTTTAATAAAATAAAAATTTTGAAGTAAATTCCCTCAGAATAAATATCACATAATCTCTGTAGTTATGGTTAAAATGAAAATTTAAAATAAATTTTCAATATTTTCATCATAAAATAATTTGTTTATCTAATAGTTAACTGAATATCAAATCATGATTGTTTAATTTGAATGTTTTAAATGTTACACCATTCTACAGATAGTAGAACTAATAACAGAATTTATTCACCACTACATAATTCTCTCACCTACCATACCTACTATTAATATCACTCCCTATTCATTGTCAACCAATTAACAGCATTTGATTAGCTATTTTTGTAAGTAAAACCATTTAATTATAGTTAGCTTTCATGATTCGCATTATTGGCTAATAAAATACTAATAAATTCTTAAGTCTTAAAGTATAAAACAAAGAATTCATTAAGTTTTTTATGTATAGGTACTGTACAGTACATATCAAATTAAGTTTGTAAATATTTAATGTAAATTTATTGAATTTATAAAAATTGAGAATAAGGTTTATAATTGACAGATTCTATAATAACCACCAAGGTATTATAACTGTAATTAAGAAACATCTTTGAAAATCTCTTAACAATTATGTAATTCTTTGAGTTTATTATTTCATAGTATTTCACAAATTTGTAGTTAAATTACAATAACTATACACTAAACTATAGATAAATGAATAATAATTAAGAAACATCTTTGAAAATCTCTTAACAATTATGTAATTCTTTGAGTTTATTATTTCATAGTATTTCACAAATTTGTAGTTAAATTACAATAACTATACACTAAACTATAGATAAATGAATAGGATTATATAATGTAAGGTTAATAGGTACTGGCTCATTTTGTTGTTAATTAAATTGTAGAATAACTGGTGTTATGAAGAGCGAAGTGGCAGACAATGAGTGGTCGCTATGGAGGTCAGTGACAGCCACTGGCAGTAGTTGGGGGACTGGAGGGGCGATAGTGTGTAACGTATTTGTGAACGGGATGTGTGAATGAGTAGTATTATTATTATCTGTATTTAAATTGAATGTCAATTGAAGTGATAATCTGACTGTGGTTTGGATCAAGTGATTGCCCGCAGACTATCACCGAATGATGAGTTCAAGAATTTGTGAACATTTGGAGACATTTAAAGCCAATTATGGTCTCAATTCGTATCAAATTATTTATAAACAATTCATTTCAGTCACTACTCAAGAGTCCAGGAAAAGAAAGGTATAGACATCTGATCCAAAGAATCACTCAATTCAAGCCATTGTCTAATTACCTCTTTATCCCATCGAAGGCCCGAAATTGTATTTGTTTCACGTGTCGACTGCCGGTCTTAAGACTTCATTCGTGTCTTTACTGTGTATTCTTCGGCTGTTTTACTGAACACCACATTCACGAGCACTCGAAGACACAGAAACACAATTTAGGTGATAATCCATTGAACCATTGAATCGATTTGTTTGTTAACTCATAAATGATTGAATTGTGTTGCGATCGATGGCAGCAATGGATCTCTCGTATGGAATGGTATACTGTTTCTCGTGTGAGGACTATATGCACGACAAAGACTTGGAGACAATCGCCAAAAAGCAGAAACGAAGAGCAGACAAAGTGAGAGGAGTTCGTTGCACTCAATACTATAGGTGGGAACCGACTTCTCAAGAGCTACAGGTCCTCAAAGACAATCCCCAACGAAAGCGCATTTCGGAGAACTCGCACATCGGTTGGCATTCATATGACTGTTGCCTTCAATTCACTTAATTGTTGTCTAAATGATTGCATTGAAGGACTCCGAGGTCTCATCAATCTCGGGAACACCTGTTTCATGAACTGTATCGTTCAGGCCTTAACCCACACTCCACTCCTTCGTGACTATTTCCTGGCCGACCGACACGTCTGTCAGTTCGAGGCCGACCCGTCCATGTGTTTGGTCTGCGAAATGGCGCGACTTTTCCAAGAGGTTTGTGTCAAATGTGTTGTCATATACTCGTCGCCACTAAACGACATTTTGTTGGTTATGTGACCAACAGTTTTATTCGGGTAAGAGTTCTCCGCACACGCCCTTCAAGTTATTGCATTTGGTTTGGACTCACGCCAGACATCTGGCCGGTTATGAACAACAAGACGCTCACGAGTTCTTCATTGCAACACTCGATGTACTGCACCGGCATTGCAGAGGTTTGACCATTGATTCTAATGTTTGTCTGATATTAATATTTGGATGACTGTCCAAAGGAACCAATGGTCCGACCAATAATAGTCCCCATCATTGCAACTGTATTATTGACCAAATTTTTACGGGAAGTCTTCAGTCGGATGTGGTCTGTCAGTCCTGCAAGTGAGTCAACCCTTTCTCTATACTCTTATGCACTTCAGTCCTCTTATGGTAAATAAATATATGGCTCGTAATGAATGAATTGTTGTGCAGAGGAGTCAGTTCAGTGGAGGACCCCATTTGGGACTTCAGTCTAGATTTGGGTCCATCTCTTCATATGCGTCAACAAAGAGCTTCTTCTTCGACACAAACCATTTGCGATGAATCGGAACCAAAATCACTGATTGACTGTTTAGAACGGTTTACACGACCCGAGCATTTAGGAAGTTCTGCCAAAATAAAATGCAGTTCCTGTCAAAGCTATCAGGAGTCCACTAAACAACTCTCGCTCAAGAAGTTACCCGTCGTCGCCAGCTTTCATCTCAAAGTATTTCACTTTAATTTTCAATTTATAAATACCGGTAATGAGTTATTTTATGAACAAAATTCTGTATATTTATAGCGATTTGAACACTCGAGTCGATTCCACAAAAAGATCTCAAGTTTTATATCATTTCCTCAATATCTGGATATGACTCCATTCATGGCCTCAAAAATTGGCTGCAAATCTGGTTCTAATGATAGTTCTAATGTCAACTCATATACCAATGGAGTGGCAAATAATGACAACAAGTGATATAAAAGCAGTTTTTAATGTTAATTGTCTGATACTATAATACAAACTATAATCACTTGTGTAGATACTGTTTGTTCGCTGTTGTTAACCATTCGGGGACTATAGAGACGGGACATTACACGGCATTCATTAGACAACATCGGGACCAATGGTTCAAATGTGATGATCACTTAATAATGCGCGCCAGTGTTCAAGAAGTTCTCGACAGCGAAGGGTTAGCCATTGATTACACAATTATTACCATTATTTGAATTGATTCTAATTATAATGTGTCTACTTTCAGATACTTATTGTTTTATCACAAACAGATCCTCGAATACGAATAAAACTGTTTGGAAACATATTCGTGATAAATACTGAACAGTATTTTTGCTCAAAAACCTTATTCTCAACCAATTTATTGAATATTTTGTATAATTTATTTTTAATCAATGATTCGGTCTTTAAATCCTTTATACAATCATGAAGTGAAATTTTATTTTTTCAAAAGTTTGTTAGTATTTAATTTAAAAACAAATAGAACTCTAAATGAATATAAGAATAGTAATGAAATGCATCTGAAATCATGAATTGAAGTTTACAATAATGTATATTTTATTGAACATATCGGAGTTTTGTTGTCAAACATGGGATCGAATCAAATCTCGATTATTGTGATAGACTTGAGGATTATGTGATACAACTATTTAATGAATTTTTGACTATATTTTAAATTAATTTACAACTTATTGTTTATGAATACAGCAAATTTGTAACGAGTCTTGAATTTCAATAATAAATTATTATTTTTTAAACGACGCGTGGAGTGCGAGTTGTTGACTCGACTTTTCTAAACTTTTGATAAATTGTGAAGAGTTGTGAAGAACTTGTATTAATAGATACCCTGTAAGTGATAACTCGATAACATTTGTCGTTTTGATAATACAGTACCTATTGTTTCCATACGATATACACAGGTATTAGTGTTATCTTGAAATGCGTTCATAACATAATTCTCGTTATTTTCTT